GAATAAGAATGTTGGACATAATGCCACAATCAGTGGTTTGCTCAATTTTCTCCTCAAATGGGAGATTGGCGACCATGAAGGTGGGTTAAATGTTGGATATTGATAGTCATCGAATGATAGTTCATTGGAACATCAAGCAATTATTAGCGGTCTACTCAGTCAGTTTTCATGTAGGAGAGGAGATTTATGACTAGGTAGGTCGATGTTGGATTTCAGCGAGTGAAAAACATAAAATGCCAATTCTTAGTATTCATCAAATGATTGCCAAATAGGAATGTTAAATATTGGGCAAATATCAATGGCATTGTTTGATGACTATGATGCTGCGCAAATACCAATGGCATAACTCAACCATTCTCCTCATGAAAGGACATACCAGCAACTTTGTGGTGATGACTAGCATTGACATTGCGTGATGACATTAATGATGTTGGGCAATATAGGTGTTGACGAGATAGTGGGTTTTGTTGTAAGGAGATAGAGGGCATCATCGGTGTTTGTCGTTAGTGGTCAATATTATTTCACATCACGTGTCAGCATTTGATCCATAACATACATCAACAATAGAAAATAGCCAACATTAATGTTAGGTGATGGGGGCACCGACGTCGAGCAAAGTTGGACTAGTTTTGGTTATCAACTATTGACATGTGCCGCTGGTGAAAGTTGTATAATTCTCCAAGTCTACAAACTCCCTCAACAAAAGTTCTCTTTAGTGTCAACTTATTTATAGACTTATCTAAGTGACAATATAGTTATTTTGATTTTTTTTTTTTAATAGAACATTTTTAAAGACAATCTAAAATGGATCCTCTTTGATCATTTGATATTTTTCATTGTCAGTGGCTGCTTTCCATCATCATGCATCATCACGGTCCATCACTGTCGCTAACCATCGTTGTCACCTACCATTATCACTTATTTTTTGTTATGCTACCGCCATAGGTAGTTGCCCATGTTGGCCACACAATCGTCACTAGCATGCCATCGACACCATTGCCACTAACAGGCTGACAGCAATCATCATCAGCCACCAATAGCATCACAAAGCAACACTGTAGCGATTTTCTCATTGTACTTCAAATCAAACAAAACAAAAAAAAAACCAATCATTTTTATTTATTTTATACATACAATACAAACAAACAAGTAAAAAACATTTCAAATATACTGTATTAATTTTACACTATGTTTATATATATATATTTGTATTTTATTTTAAACTCTTTTTTCAACAAAGCAAACCGCCCATTATTTTCATATCACCAGGATGCACGTTTTGATGATAAGATTTTTTACACAATTCTGAAACTGGCTCTGACTTTTTTAGTTTAAATATGTAAAGTAATTTGAGATCCAGAAGTTATGCCCATAGTTAAATACTCATGAAATGAATATTTAACGCCGTGTCAACTATAAATGCAAGCAAGAAATATTATATGCAGGAAGATAGCAAGTAATTATCACAATTAATATTGCCTACATCAAACGCTTCAACATAATTTTTATTTTTATTTTTTGTTTATATCCTACAAGTGCGTTGAATAGTCTCCAACCATCACACTCACACTATTTACTTTTCTGTCAGAAATGTGGCAAAAATTGTTGTTTTTAGTCAAAATCATACATTCATATACGTGTGTTGTCTTATTTTGATCAAGTCTTTATGAGAATTAGAGCCAAATGAAGAAATTATAGGTAGATTAATCTTGAAATATGCTTGAAATATCAACTAGTGAGCAACAAGGCAAAAATCCATCTATAGAGGAGGTTGTGGTGTTTATTATTTGACTAAGTTATTGTGTTGGAATATATGGTTAGGTGAGTGAAATCGATTGACTGCAACTAAGGATGTTGGAACTCACTATTTGCATGCCTACCATGTGTATGACTAAGTTTTTTTATTGAAAACAAACATTACTTTTTCTAAAAATGTCACCAATGTATGAACTTTCTGGTAGGTGTATTAGAGAGCCTGTTATCTCGTCTCAGACTCGAAGAGCAAACCCGACTCCCTCCATGTTCTTGTGATCACGCTCAATTTGATTTATTGCATGTTTGTGGCTGATGTTATATACCAGTGCCAAATAACGTCTTCATAAAACGCCCAAATTTATGTATTGGCATTTGCCCACCAACATTGCATAATGCATATATGTAATTGACCAACAGCTATCTAAGTAACTCTTAACGCCCTATCATTCCTTCATGTTGTCCACCAACTTCATTGGTATTAATTCCCAGTTAAGCAATATTTATCAATGTATTACACAATATCAAATGTCATCACGTACAGTTCATCGGCATCCAATAAATAGTGAAATTCATCAAATCGCTAAAAATGGTGTTCAGTTGATTTTTTTTATTTTGGCTGTGGAGATTGACAAACTTTTATAATATATCAAATTAAAACTTGTAGATCTTTTTCAACCCTGTGATTTTTTTTAAAAACATAAAATCTTAAAGACTTGTAGACTTTTATAATTTTAAATGCTTATTTTTTTCTACATATGAACATAATATTCTATAACCTAAAAACATAACTCATAAAACCTCAATCACAACAAGTAACACTCAATTTTATTATGAGCATATTAAATTTAGAGGTCATTTTGTCACTCAAATGGTGTCATAAATTTTCCATATTTACTTTTAAATGCTTAATGCAAGTTTAATTAGTTAGATTAATTGAAATTCTTAAGATTTTTAATTATACTTCTAAGAATTTAATTTAGATCCAGTTGGTCTCAAATCAATAAATTCTTAGGACTGATAGATTTTTCTGTATTTTGGGAGTATTGGTTTCCTTCATAGGGTTTTCAAGGGTGTTAATGCATAGTAAATATTTGATGTATTTAAAACTCGTCATTTGTTAATTTTTGGTAAATTCCAAACTTAGCAAATTAGGCCAATATCCAAATACACCGCACAAGCTACTGCTATTGTCACCAATTATTGTTGCTCGTCGCCCGCCACTCAAGGGTCCATCATTGCCGGTGGCTGCTTTCCATCATCACGCATCATCACCGGCCATCGCTGTCACTAACCATCACTGTCGCCTACCATTATCACTTGTTTTTTGTTATGCTACCGCCATAGGTAGTTGCCCATGTTGGCCACACAATTGTCACTAGCATGCCATCGACACCATTGCCACTAGCAGGCTGGCAACAATCATCATCAACCACCAATAGCATCACAGAACAACTCTGTCGAGATTTTCACATTGTACTTCAAATCAAACAGAACAAAACAAACAATCATTTTTATTTATGTTATACATACACAACAAACAAACAAGTAAAAAACATTTCAAATATACTCTATTTATTTTACACTATATTTATAAATATAATTTTTTTTTTTTAACTCTTTTTTCAACAAAGCAAACCGCCCATTATTTTCATATCACCAGGATGCACGTTTTGATGATAAGATTTTTTACACAATTCTGAAACTGGCTCTGACTTTTTTAGTTTAAATATGTAAAGTAATTTGAGATCCAGAAGTTATGCCCATAGTTAAATACTCATGAAATGAATATTTAACGCCGTGTCAACTATAAATGCAAGCAAGAAATATTATATGCAGGAAGATAGCAAGTAATTATCACAATTAATATTGCCTACATCAAACGCTTCAACATAATTTTTATTTTTATTTTTTGTTTATATCCTACAAGTGCGTTGAATAGTCTCCAACCATCACACAGAAATGTGGCTCAAGTAGTTGTTTTTAGTCAATATCATACACTCATATATATACGTGTGTTGTCTTAATTTGATCAAGTCTTTAGGAGAATTAGAGCCAAATCAATAAATCATAGCTAGATTAATCTTGAAATATGCTTGAAATATCAAATAGTACTGGGCATTAAGGCAAAATCCATCTATAGAGGAGGTTGTGGGTGTTTATTATTTGACTAAGTTATTGTGTTGGAATATATTGTTAGGTGAGTTAAATCGATTGACTGCAACTAAGGATGTTGGAACTCACTATTTGCATGCCTACCATGTGTATGACTAAGTTTTTTTATTGAAAACAAACATTACTTTTTCTAAAAATGTCACCAATGTATAAACTTTCTGGTAGGTGTATTAGAGAGCCTGTTATCTCGCTCAGACTCGAAGAGCAAACCCGACTCCCTCCATGTTCTTGTGATCACGCTCAATTTGATTTATTGCATGTTTGTGGCTGATGTTATATACCAGTGCCAAATAACGTCTTCATAAAACGCCCAAATTTATGTATTGGCATTTGCCCACCAACATTGCATAATGCATATATGTAATTGACCAACAGCTATCTAAGTAACTCTTAACGCCCTATCATTCCTTCATGTTGTCCACCAACTTCATTGGTATTAATTCCCAGTTAAGCAATATTTATCAATGTATTACACAATATCAAATGTCATCACGTACAGTTCATCGGCATCCAATAAATAGTGAAATTCATCAAATCGCTAAAAATGGTGTTCAGTTGATTTTTTTTATTTTGGCTGTGGAGATTGACAAACTTTTATAATATATCAAATTAAAACTTGTAGATCTTTTTCAACCCTGTGATTTTTTTTAAAAACATAAAATCTTAAAGACTTGTAGACTTTTATAATTTTAAATGCTTATTTTTTTCTACATATGAACATAATATTCTATAACCTAAAAACATAACTCATAAAACCTCAATCACAACAAGTAACACTACTGCCTCATTTAAAATAAACATATATCACTAAAATTGTTGCTAAATTTCAAAACGTTGAAGAACAAATCTGAACTTAAATATTCATTAAATTTATAATAGTGACATAATTTCCATAATATCTTTAGATCAGTAATATACTTATTATAAAAAAAGAAAACAACCGAATGCAATCCTCGCATTCACATGTAAATGTCACATTCCAATTAAATAAATGCATGTAGCAGACGGTTAGGCAAAAGCCTATCCACATACACCTCTTTACTCTTTCTCCTCTCTCTCCCTCTCTCCCTCTCTCTGTGTTTTCCCTATATAAATAGAACAGAGATCAGCCATTAGCGTACCTCATCATTCTTCGTTAAATTCTTCATATCCCACTGTATCTGCACAACTATTCGCATTGGAAGAGAAGACGAAGTCGTACAGCAAGCATTAGAACAACAAAGGTATCTTCTTGCAGGATAAAGCTGTATTTTTTAAGAGGATTTCTCATGCGATAAAGCTGTATATCTATCTCTTCTTGCAGGATCGACAAGTAACTGAAAAGGCAATAACGTCGGTGAAATTAATAAACAAATCATGAGGTTCTCTTTGTCGAATGACGAGTTGCTTGCCACATTTACACCTGTGTTAGTGTACTGGATCTATTCAGGGATTTTTATGATTCTGGGAGATTTGAATAACTATAGGCTTCACACTAAGGCTGAGGAGGAATCCAAGAATATAGTCTCCAAGACAACTGTTCTCAAAGGCGTCCTCCTGCAACAATCTATCCATATCACTCTTTCCCTTCTCTTCTACACGGTACATATTCAATTTCCATATTTTTTTTATTTGGCTAGCTAGCTTCACCATGTACCTCCATTTGTACCAAAGCCCTACATGGGGTTCTGGTTGGGTACCCATGCTTTACTCAGACAAGCTTCGCCCACCCACACCCATCGATGGTGACTTTCAAGATGTCATACCCACCCACTTTTCATGTTTTTTGAACGTAGTCTGTCACAAACTGATGGCCTTGAGGTTTATTATCCTTTGCTCTGATTGCAAACTTTCAAGCTGCATATCATAATTTATTGTAGTTGCAGCATGATTAAGTGTTGCACACTACATAGTGAGGATTATAGTAATATAAGATATATTGTGATTAGCAATGTAAATCGATTTATCCTCTGATATTGAGTACCCACTCATACTCACCCACAAGGTCATGGGCGTACCCATACTCATCCATACCCATTGGGTATGGACAGGTACATGAGTGGGTGTAGGTATGGATACCCAATGCAGGGCTCTGATTCGCACTTGACGTTCTACCAGCTTCTAAATACAATAATGTTATTCAAAATACAGATCACGGGCAGCGATAAACCCACCTCTCCACAACAATTTTCCATGGTGGTATTCATTCTCCAGTTCTTCGTCGCCATGGTTGTGCTCGATACATGCCAGTATTTCACCCATAGATTGATGCACATGAACCAGTTCTTGTACAAGCACGTTCACTCGCAACATCACACGCTTATTGTCCCATATGCATTTGGGGCACTGTACAACCACCCTCTTGAGGGCCTCTTCTCCGATGCGGTGGCGGGAGCCATTGCCGTCGCCATCTCTGGAATGAGTCCTCGCGCAGCTACTGTCTTCTTCTCATTCACCACCATTAAAACAGTTGACGATCACTGCGGATTGTGGCTTCCAGGAAACTTGCTTCATCTTTGCTTCGCAAACAATTGCGCATTTCATGACATACATCATCAGCTCTATGGTCTGAAGCGCAATTTTTCTAATCCTTATTTTGTGACTTGGGATAAACTGCTTGGGACTTACATGCCTTACAAGCTTGAAAAGAGAGAGAAGGGAGGATATGAGGCACGGCCGATAGCTTATACGAAGACCGAATAATTAATCACAGAGTGTAATTCATTAAGTTTGAATTACTGGACTTATAGGCCTTGCAAGTTAATGCATATATATAGATAAATATATATTTGTGAGTGTGTTTTCTTGAAAAAGAATATTTTTATAAGGTGGGAAATAAATATGCTGTAGAAGTGTTGTTTCAGTCATATTTCTGTACAAAAGTTCGTTGTAGTGACTAGTCTAATGTATGAGATTAAGGTTTTATTTGGAACTGTTTTTCTTACTTTCTTAAAACAATTTTTTTAGTATAAAAATTTTAATTTTTAATCATGAAAAAATTATTTTAGGAAGCAGTAAGAAAATCATCACAAAGGAAGCTTAAGACTTTCTTACTACTTCTTAAACAGTTTTCTAGTAAAAAAAAAATGCTTTAAGAAGCACTAAAACAACCGTCTCAAACGAAGCCTAAATATAGGCATATCCTTTGATAGTATGTTTAAGAAAAGTATGAATTATTCATGATTAATTATTATCATGAGTACTGCTGCCTGCTTTACTTTGTATTTTGCAATAAGGGAATTGCATTTTAACTCTCTCTCTCTCTCTCTATAATGATCGAGATGTTTATCTGTAAAATAACTCTTCATGCATCATGTTTCTCTCATGCTTAATATGGCATATGGCTTCGGAGAAAAACACAGAACTTAATGGAAAAGTTAACGTTAGGCTCTTTCTCGAATGTCATATATGATGAAAAAATATGAGGTTGAAAACAATCGGCTAAATTTAAGTACTCAAACTTACTTAGTCTTTAATGTTCAGATTGGTCATTCCTTTGAATGCTCAAACACAGTATCATTTGGGATCAAGTATTCTATTTCAGCAGTAGTTGGGCACAAGTCATGATTGCTAAGTCAATAGGTAAAGTTTTATGTGTTTTGATTGGCCACATCTATCATCACATTAAGATCATTTTCAACCGAACTGCATATGGTGGTATGCCGTCCATCATTTGCTCCATTTGAACGCTAAATTGCAAGTCAAAATTCGGTAGGAGAACAATGTTATGACAATATTGACGTCGTACTATTGACCTGTGCCAATTTTCTGTGTTGCGGAATTTGCTGAAGCAGCGCGTGAAAGAGGAGAAGGATGATTACCTTCGCAGCGAGATGAAAAAGTGCGGGTAAGAGGAGAAAGAAATGGAGTTCCATCAGAGATAAATTACGTACTGCATTTTGGAGTGAAAAATGAATTTTTCAGTTGGAGATGCCCTAAGAAAATTCATATCCAACCAATTATTTTATTCCAAAATATCTTGGATTCCTTAAAATACTAATTTGCCCAACTGATTTAATTGAATATGTGGGGACTATGTCAAGCCTTGAAGCCTTGAACCCCCGCTACTAAAGTCTCAATCCCATCCAACTTTATTGCTTAACATTCTTCTCGATGTTATCTCTCAATGACTAGACAAGTGTTTCTCTTGCATCCCAAACAATCAACCATTTATGTAAAGCTTGTTTTCAAAAAAGAATGGAGTTAAAAAGTTGGTTAGGGAAGGGGTCATAGGGAAAGAAAATCAAAGAATCCCGATTATAATAAAAAAACACATAATTTACAATTCTTATTATTGGTCAAGCTCTCTCTCTCTCTCTCTCTCTCTCTCTCTCTCTCTCTCTCCCCCCACAAAGCAGATGTAGGCTAGCTATAAAGTCAAATTACTTGGCTCTTTTAAATCTGGTAAATCTCCTTTGTATTTATTTATGATCTCTTTTCTTTGGTTGAAATCAACTCAATGAAATTAGGAATAGTAACTAAAATCGTAGATATGATATATTTTATATGTTATTCATTAGATATGATCATTGGTTGAAATCAACTCAATGATATCACTAGTAGGTATGCTTTCTTTTACCATCTATTGATGATTATTGAAGAGTTAAGTTTCATTTGAAATGACTTTCTCTTATTACTCTTTAAAGCTGTTTTCTAGTACAAAAATTAAAAATTTTGTACAAAAAACCTCTTTAAGAAGCATTAATAAAGTACAAAACCTTAACCTCTTTAGAAGATATCATGTGCATAATCTTCAATCCACTACATGAACAATATGTGAACTTCTGTCGTTGCAACTTAAAAGACCCGCACCTTTCCTTTGCAACAAACAATCATTACCTACAAGGTTTACTCACCCATAAAAGCCATTCATACACAGTTCACCATGATCTATTGGTTGAGCGCTTAATTAGGCTTCCAACTAAGAGATCTTGGGTTCGAGTCTTTGTGTATGCGTTGTGTGTGTGAGTTTGCCTTAAATGACCTAAATGTCCCAAAAAAACAAAGCCATTCATGAAACAAATGATAGAGGGTAAAGGGCAAGTTGGGATGGATTGAGGGACAAATATGAAGGGACTTGTAGAAAGGAGAAATATAGAATATATAAAAAAGTGCATTTCATATAAATAACTTACAATCAAGTATTCAATTTAACTAGGAGTTGGACACATGTCATATAACGCCTCAAGATCTAAATTAGAAGAATTATCTATTTTATCTTTTAATTAATCTACTAAAGTTTCTATAAAATCATCAATATAAATCAATCAATCCAACGTAAACAACTAAACATCATACACGTCAAAATCTTTTACTCTATATTCATTATTCAAAATCTAATTTATAATAGCCATAACATCAATCCATCTCGAAGCTCTTGACTATACAAGAATAAAATAAAATATTAAAAACCAAAAGAAAAAAACAATACTTGTATTAGTGTGTCAAAGGGAAATTATTTTGTGCGGACACCGAACGCCGTTCATAGACTAACCAAAATGCGTCACGTCACCCCTTGTGGTACTGCGGTTCGGTAATGCTCAGTAACGAGGCTCATTACTACTGACGTGACACATTCTAGTTGGTCTCCAGACCACGTTCTACATCCGGTTTACGAACATAATAATTTCTCACTTTTGACAGAAGCAACTATAAGGCATATCAATAAGCTTAAACTTGAAAGGTAAAAAATGCCTTGAGACATCACTCACAATTCATGTCATTCCAACTTGAATGACACATACATGATCATCCATGCTAGTCAAATATATAATCCATTTTGACAAGCCACACCCGTCGAGCAAGAATGACGAGAAAAATTCTAAGTAAAAACCATATCTTATTGAAATATATTTGTTGGGCAATGCATCATCCAATTCATGCATATTTGTTCATGCCCACTTGAACATCCCATGGTAAATAATTTATAATTAAAGTTCTTGATCTCTTCAATAACTTTTGGCTCAAAATATTATTAAAATAAAATTTGATGAGTCAATAAGCCAAATTTTAATCATCCTCAACTCATCACCACATAAGCTATGCTCAATAAGTAAAAGATCAAAGCTCTAGGCAACCCCATTTAAATTCATTAAATTATTCGTTTACTTGTTTAATAGTAATAATAATTATAATAATAACAAAACCATTTATATATAAAAACACTCAAAGGATTTAATTTAAGAAATTATTGAAGAAATATTAATTCACCTCATTTTCCCTCTAATCTCTCATTCAATTCACAACTTCTTTGTTAGAAGTATTAAAATTTAATTAAATAGTGAAGGCACTCAAACTTAATGCAAGGGCTACTTAAGCCTAAGTTGACTCACAATCCAGCTCAAATTAAACTAAATCTTCATTTGGGACGACTTTTTTATTGCTATTTAAATAGTTTTTTAGAAAAAAAAAAATTTATTTTTAGTTAAAAAACTACTTTAAAAATCAATAAGAAAGCAATCATAAACAATGTCTAAATAGATTTGAACCCAATATGTTTCAAGCTTTGCCCAAGGAAAGATTATTAGGTTCGAACATCGGACACAACTTACTGTTTGGTACTTTACAGTACGAAACAGTACTGAGCTCGGTACTGTGAAGTACTTAGTTTGGTACTTCATAGTACCGAACATACAGAGCTCGGTATTGAGCAGTACTGAGCTTGGTACTGCTCAGTACCGAGTTCAGCACCAAGTAAAAGGTGATGTGGTGCATTTTCATTGACTCCGGACGACGCCCGGTGTCCGAATAATCATATATCAATTTTTTTCCTTATAAAGTAAGACAAGTGGGTATGGCCTAGCCCAAAACTAACCGAAAGGGCACTTGCAAAACGGTTCAAGTCAGCACAGGCTATCGTTTCTTCGCATAAAAATGGTTGCCCAATATACCCGAGCGGGTTTAGCGGGCCTACGACCAAGTCCAACCCAATATAAGCCACACAAGTTCTTTTTTTCTATTTTTATCTCCGAGAAAACCCCTCCAATCAGCAGCGGCGACGCCTCTTTTACCGACCAACGGTGATCATTTCGACGATCAACTCCGGAATCAAAAGAAAAAAAAAAAAAAACTCCGAACTTGAAAGAAGTTGCAGTGTTTGAATAAAAATGTATCTTTTCTTGATTTTCCGAAGTTCTTCTGATGATTAGGGGGGTCTTTTGAGGTTAAGAGGTGAGATCCTTTTTTTCCCCTTAATTTCCGCTAAGTTGTTTCGATGGATCCTTTTGTTATTTGTATTATTAATAGTTTTGAATATTTTTTGCTAGTTTTATTTCGTCTTCATCTAAATTTCATTCCTCCAGCGGATCTTATCGATGGATGAGATTTATTTACCGAGCGTGGATTATTTGATTACTGTATAGAGAAAGGGGATTAGAGGTTGCCCCTTTTCGGCGTCAAATTTTTTCCTTGATGATGGCTTTCGTAATCGCAGCGAATATGATGCTAAATTTCTGTTTTTTAATTATGCAAGGTTAAGATTAACCACTTTGTCATTTGGGCGAAGATGGCGATGTCGAGAGAGGCTCCATCTTTGGTAAAGCTTTGCGTTGGAACTGTAATTGCTAATCTTAGGTACGTTGGAGATGTGAGTGGAGTAGATTTGCACCTTTTGAAGGACATTTTACCTCACTGCACGATGGATCAGTTGATTTGCATTGAAAATTCAACCCAAGTAAGAGTTCCTCCATTTGAATCTGAAGCTGTTATGCTATTGATGTGTGGAATTCATTTGAATAATAATTAAATCTGTTTCCTTGCATATCTCTGGAATATATTTAGGATGTAGATCTCAGTCCCGTGACTAATGATTTGTGGAAAAGATTCTACGAGCAACAATTTGGGGAGGAAAATATGATGCTTGTGGTTAAGAGGATGAAGCAGAAGCGAGTGGTTTTCAAATGGAAAAAGCTCTACGAGGTGGCTTTTTTTTTCATGAACTTCCATGGCTGCCATATGCTTGTTCTGTGCATGTAAGAACTAACAACTTATATGTTGTTCATGATGCATGCGCATTTATTTGTAGGCAAAGATAAAGGAGCGGGAAGTTTTCAGAAGTAAATCAGTAGAGAGACTAAAGCAAAGATATGAAGAAGAGCTTGCTAGTAAATTCTTTTAATTTTTTTCATGGCATATAACAATAATTGTCTTCTGATTCATTGTGAGACAATCTTGCAGTTTATTATAAACATTTTTTATGAGCTTTAGCAGGCCTTTTTGATTTTATGAAATCACTTCTATGGATTTTTTTATGAGGAAAATTCACTCAAAGTGGTTAGTCCATGTTCTATAGAGAGAAGAAGATGCATTGATAATGAGACATTAATGAGGTAACATGATTGATATTTGTGTGAAATAGATTGAAGACCTTGAGTAAGTGTGATCAACATTCAAATTTGTCTAAAGATGTAACATCTATCCTCTAAGTCTTTTGATAATGTCTCTTAGGTTTTAAGAACTATTTATTGGATGAATTTTGATAGGTTAGGTTATAAAATCATATAATGTGAATGAGGCTTCATAAAGACAACCCAATTAGTTGGGATAAAGCTAATAATGATGATGACTTTTTGTTAGGTGTTGGTTCTTATTTGAAATATTAATTTTATTTTACTAGAAGTTTTTATTTTAGGCTATTTTACCATTTTTCCTCTTTGGGTTGTTTAGTATAAATAGGAGTAACTTGTGCTGTTTGAGATAAGTGAATGAATAAAATCCAATTATGTTTTTCTTTCAAAAACTGTGAGCTGTCTCCCTCTTCCCTCTCTCTCTCTATTTTTCCTTTCTTTCTCTCTCTCTTGTGGGAGCAACAATCAGAGATCTACTGGCTATCAGTCTAGGCAAGTGGTGACTCTCGGTCCAAGTAAGGAGATGCAGGCTGCAGTCTAGGCAAGGCTTCCTTCTCTCGGTCCATGCAAGGAAGTAAAGAGCTGCGGTGGAGTTGCAGTTGCAAAGATGGCCTGCGGTGAAGGAGAAGGTGTTGTTAGTGGACTGTTGGTGCAGGAATTCAAGATCTCTTCCTTTTAGTTTTTTTTTTTTTTCAACAATTGGTATTAGAGCTTGGTCAAAAAATATCAAGAGGAAGGTATTTCTTGAATTCAATAAAAGAAAATTCCAGCCAATAGGTGGAGCTTCTTGGCTATTCTTTGGAGGAGAAGGTGACCGGCGGTGGAAGTCTTTCCTGGGCTGTTCTTTATGGACAACATGTGGAGGAGAAGGTCAGAATGACGGTGGAAATCTTTTTTGGGCTATTCTTTGTAGATAAATGGATACAAGAAGATCTCTACCTCTAGATACAAAACACTCTCTACTCTCCTCTCTTTCCTTAATTGTGGGAGTTCAGCTGACTTGGGCTTCCTTAAGCTTTGAAAGCAAAGACATCTCTAAGTCATCCTCTAGAGCTGTTACATCAACTTGAAATGACTTCTGAGCTCCCGAAAATACTCGAAAAGAATAATAATAAAGCTTGTTTAAATATTTCTTTGAGGAACAGGATAAAGTCATTTCGCATGTATCATCAAAATCTGTAAAAGACATAGGAACAATAGGCTCACCAATCACGCACTCAGCTGATCCTTGGCCCAAATCCACTAAGTACTCTTTGAGAATCACTACCACTCTAGATTTAGTATTCCTTTTAAGCCATTTCTTGAAGTTAATGCAATGAGCTAACATTTGATAATATGGACAATAGTTGGGCCGATCTGACTTGCCAGCTTCCTCTAGTTTCTTAGATTCAGGCAATTTGAAATTTAATTTCTTTAAGAGTTTTTTGAATATCCTCTTTAAAACTTCCTTCTTAAATGGATAAATTATGTTAGTCAATGCTGTGAATTTCTCTCAATTTTTTCTTTTCTCATTTGGCGTAGGGTAAGGTCGATGCTACTACTGTTGATATTATTATGGCTTATACTGTTGTCATAGATACTGTTGTGATTGATACTATTGTTATCTCTGTGATCGTTGGCTATAAGACTGATAGGAAGAATTTTTCCTTTGAACTTGCATAGGTTGCTTGCACTTATTTACAGTTGAAATTGACCCAGATTTATTTTCTAAGATTTTCTGAGGTTATAGCTTTTTTGCATCAGAAGATAGCTAATCACTAAAGAAAGAGAGTTGAAAACTGAAAGCCTTACTAAGTAATTTTTCAAAGGTTTTGATGATAAAATCTTTTAAGAGAAATGCTATAGGCCCATGAATATTTTTTAGCATAATCTCAATTGCATATTGCTCCTGCAATTGAGGCTCATACTGCATGCTTAAGTTTTTCTATCTGAGTATATAATCAACCAACTTCTCTTCGGGTTTTTATCTCTCCCCAACAAGATCACCTACCGTAACATGATGCTAGGTACCCTTGAATCTCTTAATAAACATGCTTTCCAGTTTTGTAAAATTGTGTATTAATCCATTGGATAAATTTGCATTCCAGTCAAATGCTACTCTGGACAGGATACTAACAAACTGCCTATATAATAATGCATCACTGCCTCCTGCAGTGGCGGATCAACCCTTTTTTTCAGGGTGGGCAGAGTCGATATAGAAAAAAATAAATACAAAAAATATAGGTATATTTCACTAGCAAAATTCAAAGCAAAACATTGTATTACATCATGATTTATGAAATTAAAAAGAAAATTACAAACT